AATCTCCATGGTTTAAAATATATTATTTTAAAAATTCTTATACCTGCATTTTTTAATTTTTTAAATTCCTGTAATTTTTTTTTTGTAACATATTGATTGTTTTGTAATGATGTGGTAGATGTCTTCAATTTTATGAGGATAAAAAAAAAGTGTCTCAATAATAAATATCGTGTGTGAAGGTACAAGGAGACATGTGTAACATTGGTGATTAAGTTGTATGATATTATAGTTAATCAAGTTGTTAAATTATTAGATATGTGGTATACATATATGTCTTTACTAAAATATGTAAAAACTATATTTAGAAATTAATATATCTCATTGTGTGGATATAGGTTGTGGTGCTTCTCGGGCCTAATTAAGAACCTTTTAGTAAGTAAACTAACTTTTAAACACTATAAGAAATTTTGAAATTACAGACGATTAAAATCTGAGTAATCTAAAAAATTCATGGGTAACACTTCATTTCCCACGGATTACAGACGAACAATAATCCGTCGGAAAATTGCTCGTCTGAAATATTTACCGACGGATTATAATCCGTGGGTAACTTTCCAACGGAATTACCCACGAATTTTATCTGTGGGTATTGTTGATAATATTTTAAAAAAATTATTTTGAAATTAGATTAAATAACATTCTTATTTAGTGCAACCATCTCTCATATCTAACCTTTTAGCAGCTCCACTCCAATTAGAGCTCTCCATGGATAACCGTTTTTGAGATATTTGTATGCGTTTAGGATCAAAGATTGACCCCACAAACCCCACAAATTAACACAAGACTTTTCAGCGTGCCTTGTCGTCACTTGCACATTTTTCTGGAAAACTCCTCAGAAGGTCACCCATCTCTAAATTACCCCATGTCAAGCACGTTTAACTGTGAAGTTCTTAAGGAATAAGCTACCAAAGAGTATATGCATCTCATTGGTATAAATAGTACAAATTAATTCTTTTAAGTCATCTTTTATATATAAAGCACAAATGTCTTTATAGTACCATAGCGTTTTTAGAGACTTTTCTTTAATTATAAGAATTTTATATATTTTTAAATTTTTTTATCTAATTTATTTTTTATTTATCATTATTATTTATAAATTAATTTTATAATTTTTAACATAAATTATTAATAAAAAATAATTATTCGTGGGTAATTCCGTGGTAATTATCTAATTTAATTTTTATTTATGATAATTACTTATAAATTAATTTAATTATTTTAACATAAATTATTAATAAAAAATAACTACTCACGGATACATCCGTGGGTAATTATCTAATTTAATTTTTATTTATCATAATTACTTATAAATTAATTTTATTATTTTTAAAATAAATTATTAATAAAAAAATAATTACCCACGGATATATCCGTGGATAATTTCGTGGATAATTATCTAATTTAATTTTTATTTATCATAATTACTTATAAATTAATTTTATTTTTTTTAAAATAAATTATTAATAAACAATAATTACCCACGGATACATCCGTGGGTAATTTATGGGTAATTATCTAATTTAATTTTTATTTATTATAATTAATTAT